GTAGCGCCCAACCCAGAAATCCCCCCATGTTGCCCATAAAAGCCTGGAGTGCAGGGATCCCCAAAGAATCCCTGGAGCGCCCACCTTCACCTTGGAGGTTTTCAGCGAATCCCTTGAAGTGCCCAACTCCAGCGTATCCCCCTAGAAATCCCCTGTCATTCACCTCGCCTTACGCTGCTCAGGGATTACTGTGGTTTCGACGAAGCTTTTTGGAGCGGTATTTGCAGATTTCTTGACCCAAGCCTTCGGGGCGCTTAGCCGAGAGGCCTTCCTTTGCCCTTCATTTTCTTTGTTCCTCCAGTGCAAGCTGAGCGGGTCCTCCCCCGCGCGCCACCCGTCACTACTGCATTGGCCTCCAGCGTCCGCGAGACTCGGCGCGGAGCATCATGGACCCTGCGGCCCCAAATATTTCTCAACTTCTGAACAAAGCCAGACTTCGACAAGGCTTCCAGCTACCATGGGCTACCAGGAGCCAGGCCCGATCGCTACTTCCTCCAGCATGAACTCATTGGCCCTCTGAGAAGGATGCTGCCACGCCTCTCGGAGAAACCCCCCCTCTGCAAAGCACCAACGCACTCGCGCACCTTCCGCTTTGCAGCCTGGGCACCGGCCTTGCTTGCTTGCAGCCCTGAAGAAGACAAGTCGTTGTCCAACCAACCCGTTCGTTGAATGACCTTGGAATTCGTGCTTGAGACTAAAGAAACTACAGAACGCCACGAGGCATTCACTTGTTCCGCTCGAGGGTCATGGCACCTCGTCAGCAGAGCGGCATAGCGGGCATCGGAAAGCTTCGGCGCCGTCAACCGTCGCCAAAGTCAAGATACCTTTGCCACTGCGCAAGTGTACACATAGAGAGTCGAGGTCTACCAAGATTTCTTGAGGGAGAGGCCCTGCGCACGATGACCGTTCACCTTGGCTATGCGCTTGAATGTCCTGCTTGTCGAGACGCGGCGGAACCCCCCATGACACCTGCCTGGTATTCAGCTACATGGCAATCGAGATCGACGAGGCCAAGCTTGCAAGACACTCCCTTTTTGCTCCGGCTCCTTCTTGGTTGCCCTTTGGCTGACCCTCTTGCTTGGCCCTTTGGCTTGCCCTTTTGGGCTTACCCCTTTGTAATTCCATCGTCACTGGGAAACAGGTCGTCACGATGCCCCTCCCGCACAAGAGTCAATCGAGGAGCCCAAAGATCTCATCAGGCATGACCCCGCAAACCCCAACTACAGGAGCTTTGCTTCACCCCCTTGTCTCAATCATTGAAATGGAATTGGAGCTCTGGAGATTCTTCTTTCTCCACGTTTCCTATTGTAAAACTGGTAGCACTGCTCTTCCCCTTCTTGAAACTTCTCCCTATCGCCTCGCAAAGCTCTCCAGGCGCCGCTCGCGCATCTCCCGCAGGTCGCCGCCGGCGCCGGCGCGCCCCCTCACACGCGACCGAAAAAAATCGAGGCAAAAAAACTTGGGCGACGACCCCCCCTCCGCAATCCTCTCGAACACTCGAAAGGAAGCGCCCGCCAAAACATGGTTCGTCGCTTCGATGTTGTCGCAAATAATCTTGAAGTGCCCCCTGTGCAGATGCCTAAAACGTGCAGGGGGTGCCCAAGGTGCAATGTGGCGACCACGCACCATCCCTAGGGCACCCCCTTAGCCGGGGCCGAGGCACACCCTCCAACAAAACAACGAAGGACGGTATCCGGAGCCAAGAAAAGGAACACTTTGAAGGGCGGAGAGTTTTTTCCTGCACCACTTGGCTCCGACAGCTGCGTGGCCCTTGCGAGCACCTTTGCGGCCCTCGCTGTCGTTGCCCCGGCCCTCGAGAAGAATGTGGAAAAGCCAAATTCCCCAAAGGCCCCCAAGCCCCCCCTAAGCCCACCGGCCCCCTTCTCACTGAGTCCCCCTGCAAACTTCTAACCACTCCAAGGCACTGGCAAGCCTCGCAAAATTTTTGCCCACCAGGGCTTTCCTCCCGGCTTCGGCCCCTCCGATGCGCGCCGCCTTCGGGCACCACCTTCCCTTGCGGTCCGAGCCTGGCCAACAACAGCGGTGGGCGAGACCATTCGATAAAAACACAACGTGCGATCCTGAATTGCTCCCTTTCGGAAAAATGCACACACAACAAAGCCCTGCAACCAGACCTCAAGAGTCGTCTTCTCCAGCAGGCTTTGCCCTCGCCTGCGCGGCCCATTGGATGTGCCCTACTGGTCCTTTGGGATCGCAAAAACACACACCCTTTGTCCATGCAACGATTTTGGCTTTCTCTCATCCTAGCCTCTTTTCTCCTCTCAGCTCTTTTTCGGTGCGAACTTCAAAGAAACTGCGTGGTCCCCACCTGGAGGCGGGGTGCCAGCCTGGCTAACCTGGAACTACACAAGTGCTGCAGTGCAGCTGGGTTCCCCAGAATTCCTCAGAGGTAAACGACGCACATAGAAAATGCAAGGGCGGCACCCCCTCCCCCACAGAACTTCCCCACACCCTCACCAAGTCCTTCAATGGCAAAATCAAGCCGATGCCCCTGGGTTGGTGAAAGATTGGCGTTCAACTCCGGTGTCCAGGAATTTTTCTGGATTCTTTTCCTCGCAAGCTCATCGGGTCAAGAGTCCCCCAACCACTCGTCCGACCAAGCGGCTTAGGATGAGGCCCAACGAATGGGCCCGCAAAGCTCCCATGTGCCAGTGAACTCCACTCCACTCCGCGCCTTCGTAATGTTCCCATCTCCTTCTGTCGCACTCGTTTCCAGTCTCTTCGGGGTCAAATCAATGACGAGTTTGACGTTCAGGACCAATGCGATGCTTCTTTGAGGCAAAATCCCAGCAAGGCCTGGGTAGGCTGGTAGTTTTTTTTGGATCTCAAATTTATCCAGAAGCTTTCAAAGAAACTTCCTCTCCCCACGCATGTACCAAGAGGCAATTCCTTGGCTTGGGGCCAACCCAAAAGTGCATTTCCTTCAGGTTCCCTGAATTCATGCTGAAGGTTTTCACAACTGAGTTCAACACTGGCATTCCACTGAGTTTTTCACACCCTTGCGTTTTATATTGATTCACACTGAGCTCACAACGGTTTTCTCAGTGTGGTGCAAAAGCTTCTGGCCACAGCAGGCAAGCCCCCCCCGAAAAGTACTCTCTGCAGGGATCCTGCGAAAGAGCCCCTCATGATCCCTCGCGTAAATCCGGTTGGGGAAATCACAGGGAACCCGTGGCTGCTCTGGTCCATGCGACTGGAGCACGTTTTGGATCTGAGCGCAAACAGAATTAACGCGTGCAATGCACGCCAAACAGCGTTCCGGCCAGGGTGTGCGGGCATGTGTGCCCATGTTTTGCTGGTGGTGCAATGTGGTTGCATGTTGTGCCCTGTTGTTGCCATGTGTTCAATGGTTGTGGGCCATGTGCCGTGTGCGTGTGCGTGTTGGCGTTTGTGGCGCGTGCAATGTGGTGGATGCAAATGTGTTTGGCATGTGTGGTTGCCATGTGTGGTGTGTGTGTGGTGTGGTGTGTGGTGTTGGTGTGTGGTGGGGTGTGGTGTGTGTGGTGTGTGTGTGTGTGTGGTGGGTGGGTGTGTGTGGTGGTGTGTGTGTGGTGTTGTGTGTGTGTGTGTGTGTTGTGTTGTGTGGTGTGTTTGTGTGTGTGTGTGGGTGGGTTGTGTTGTGGTGTGGTGGTGGTGGTGTGTGTGTTGTGGTGGTTTTGTGTGTGTGTGTGTGGTGTGTGTGGTGGTTTGGTTGTGGTTTGTGTGGTTGGTGTGGTGGTGTTGGTGTGTGTGGTGTGTTGGGGTGGTTGGTTGTGGGTGGTGGTGTTTTGGGGGGTGGTGTGGTTTGTGGTGGGTGGGGTGGTGTGTGGTGTGGTGTGTGGTGTGTTGTGTGGTGGGGTGGTGTGTGTGGTGTGGTGTGTGGGGGTGTGTGTGGTGTTGGTGGTTTGGTGTGGTGTGTGGTGTGGGTTGGTGGTGTGGTGGTGGTGTGTGGTGTGTGTGGTTGTGTGTGTTGTGTGGTGTGGTGTTGGTGTGGTGGGTGGTGTGTGTGGTTTGTGTGTGTGGTGGTGTGGGTGTGTTGTTGTGTGTGTGTGGTTTGTGTGTGGTGTTTGTGGTGGGTGTGGTGGGGGGTGGTGGTGGGGGTGGGTGGTGTGTGGGTGTGTGTGTGGTTGTTTGTGTGGGTGTGTGTGTTTGGTGTGTGGGTGTGTGGTGTGGTGTGGGTGTGGGGTGTGGGGTGGTGTGTGGTGTGGGTGTGGTGTGTGTGGTGGGTGTGTGTGTGTGTGTGTGTGTGTGTGTGGGTGTGGTGGTGTGTGTGGGGGGGTGGGGTGTGGTGTTTTGTTGGGGTGTGTTGTGTTTGTGTGTGTGTGTTGGTGGGGTGTGTTGTGGTGTGTGTGTGTGTGTGTTGTGGTGGTTGGTTGTTGTTGTGCATGTGTTTGCAATGTGTGGTGCAATGTGTGGTGTGCGTGTGGTGTGCATGTGTGGTGCCAAATGTGTTGGCCATGTGTGGTGCATGTGTTGGCAAAATGTTGGTGCCATGTGTGTGGCAATGGTGGTGGTGCCAATGTGTGTGCATGTTTGTCATGTGGTGTGCATGTGTGGTGCTGTGGGGGTGGCATGTGTGTTCTGTGTGGTGCATGGTTTTGTGGATGCCATGTGGTGGTGCATGTGGTGGGTGCAAAATGTGTTGTGCATGTGGTGTGGGCCCATGTTGTGGGTGCATTTTGTGTGCATGTGGTGTGCGTGTTTGGCAAAATGTTGTGGTGTGGTACGTGGGGAGTGCGAACTCGGGCAAACCGCGCCCTGATTCACAGGGTACAACCAAAAAACTTACTTGCCTTGCCCCTGTGGGTTTCCGACGATCTGCCAACGAGGCAAACGAGCCCCTAGGAGACCCACCCCCTCTTGACTTTGAGCTCAAGCTTTCCCACTTCCGAGTACTTACTGCACAGTTGGTCACATGGCCGAAAGCCCTTGACAGCCTTGACGGCATCAACATGATCTGACGACCACGCCCTCAGAACAAGCGGCGCGTGGGCGCTTTTTCAAGGCTCTTCCAAAAAATTGAATAGTCCCGCGCGCAAAGGAGCGTTTTTGTGCCTGGCCCCCTGGCACTCCCTCCGAGCCGGATGAACTCGAGAGAAGCGAGGTCCTTTGGCGATGTTTCCCCTCCAGGTGTCCCTCCCCAGCAAACCAAAGCCCCGCCAACAAAAAAAACAGCGCTTGAAAAAACTGCGCGCTTCTCTCGCCCCCTGCCAGAGGGAGTGCCCTCCTAAGAGAACTTGGAGAACTTGGGGAACCGGAAAATGGGCCTGTTCCAGCGTGTCCACCTTCAGGCTCAGATGCTCCTGGAGACGGCACAGCAGAAGGGGCTCAAGGCACAGCGAGGGTCTGAAGCTCTGCGACTCTCCTGGATGTACTTGATGGACTCCCGCATGGCGAGGCGATAGCCCGCGATGATCGTCTGCACAGTGCGAAACCACGTGGCGCCAAGTGAGGCGCCGACGGTCGCCGAACGAACGCGAGACTGACTTGACTCCGGTACTTTGAGCTGCTTTCCTATCTCCTTTTATAAAATACCCCTTATTCTTCCCAGGGGCCGTGGGGTGGATGTTGTTCTTGACCAGTTCATTGGCCCTCTTCAGCCTGAGATCGATGTTCAAACTCTGGCACGACTCAACTCGACTCCCAGCAGCCGAAGAAACGAACTTGGGGTCTCCATGGCTTCCGAGGCGCAGCTCTGCAGCGATGATCACGACAGAAGTTGTCCCGTCGCCCACCTCCGAGTCCTGAACGTGCAAATGCGCCCTCTCTGCCCCCCCCTCTCCCTCTGCTGTGTTTAACTGCGTTTGTTGCTTCACGCTGCGCAAGCTGCTTACTAACACCGCTCTTCCCAAACAGGCCTGAAGGTTGGCCAGCTCCACCAAAACCTTCGCTGCCGGATGCTCCACCTCCCAGTGATCCGGGTGACACTTCGGGGCACGTAGGAACGAGCTGTGTAGAGAAAGAGTTGCCAAGCTGCTAAACCCGATTCCCACAACACGTCGCGGCGGATCAGGGGACACCGCAGTCGCGCCTCCAGCTGTTTCAGCACTGTCGCGCCATCATTGGTGATGGTCACGTCACCGATGTCGTCCACCAGCATCTTGTCCAAGCCCTGCGGTCCCAGGGAGGACTTCAGGATGTTGGCCAAGGCCTCGGGCTTTGCAAGCACGTGGGGCAACAACAACTTATGAGAGCGAACAATCGGCTTCCAGCAAAGAACCCCATCCGAGCACCCTGCCATGACAGCAGTGACATTGGCCGATCGCACATCCGCGCCGCTTTCGCGCTGGCCTGCGCGCTCGTCTGCGCACTCATCTGCGCACTGTGCATGCTGCACCCCCATGTCACCCTCCCATCCCAGCTCCGCCTTGAATCGTGAGCCCCAACTCAGATGCCATGGCACTAGGCGCTCGCTTCGAAGTCTGGAGCCATATGCAACATCGAGTCACCGATTGGAGCAGCACTCCCAAGACTGGCTTTGGGACAATTGCTTCTGATAGAATGGGCGATGACAAAGGCGGCGAGACACATAGTCGCTGTTTTGATCAACTCAAGCCTCCGCACATTTTGCCAACACACGATGTGTAGAAATCTCAGATGCATCATCTCAATCTGTCAATCTGTGCACGTCTGTCAGTGGTTGATGACCAATATCTGGACTAGCATATCCCATACAGGTGTGCCCATGACAGCTTGGTACATCTTGACGCCCTACCGCCGCGTGACAGAGGGGAACTATGGGCTTAGACGAGGGCCTCAGATGCAGGGAAGGCAAAAGCAATGCAACAACCGAAATCTTGTCAGACTAACATTGCGACCATCTGTTGCATTGCCTGCAGTATTTCTATTAGCTTTGCCGTGGACAGGGTTTCAACAAATCGACGATGCGTGGTAGCCCTGCCGGGGGCGCCATGGCCAGCAGCCATATGAAGCTCAGCAGCTTGAAACGAACCTGCCTGAACTTGTCAAGGGCAAGCCCGTGATGCCTCCAGGACCAGACTAGTTACAATACTCACAACCAAGTAGGAACAGTAAGAACAGCTTATCAAGCTAACAATTTGCAGCAAAAGGCAATAGCAAAGGTTCAAACTCCGGCAACTTTGAAATAACCTTCGGGCATGGGTTACTCTTGACGTCCTGCTTGGCAGTGACCGTCTAGGGTGGAACTACAAACTTTTTGAGCTGGGTGGGTTTCGGGCTGGAGGTTTGTTTGTGGGACAGACAGACTTCGCACATGTAGGTTCGTGCATGTAGAGAGTTTCAGGTGGCGGCGCATCCCTGAAACGTCAACCCTAAAACGCAGATTCGTCTCCTACTTCTGTTTCTTGCACGGTGCCTAAGTGAGTGATTGACGGGCGGGTTGGGAACCTGAACCCTTCACCCCTGGCGAATTATCATTGCGAGCGTTCATGTTTTACGAACTGCTCCGCCATTGCCAGTACGATGAAATCGTATATATAGCCTTGAACCCTAAATCATCGTGATGGCTATATACTTGCGCTTTGTCCTTATGATGACTGAAGAATGACCTCTCGTGACAATGCTTGCCACCTCTTGCCTGCAGAAAGCTGATGTTTCGCTCGGGCTACGGCGTTGTGGCCGAAAAACATGGCTTCGTGGGCGTACTTGGGGCTGGAGGGCTTCAGGGTTTCAACTGTTTTGGGTGTAGGGCTTAGGGTACAGAAGCTCACATGTCGGTGACACAGGTGCAACGAGACATGTTGTATCCCCTTGACCATCGAGGTGCTGCGGACTCTCAGTGTGGCTTTTTGCCTGAACCTACCAGACGTCTTGTTTATCGAGCCACGTAGGCGTGTTTGTTTTGCTTGTTGGCGCGATTCGTCTCACAGTTGTCTTGCTTGTTGCACGCGCGTCGTCTCGATTCTGGTTCGTCTGGCTTCTTGGCTGAACGCACAGACTAGTCGTCTTGTGTATCGAGCCGCGTAGGCGTGTTTGCTTTGCCCATTGGCGTGTTTCGTCCAACAGTTTAGTCGTCTTGCTTATCGAACCAAGCAGGCAAGTTTGTTTTGCTTGTTGGCGCCGAAACGCGTGCGTCTCGTCTCAGTTCGTCTGGCTTAATTATTGGCTGAACGCACAGACTAGTCGTCTTGTGTATCGAGCCACGTGGGCATGTTTGTTATGCGTATTGGTGCGTTTCGTCTCACAGTTGTCTTGCTTATGGGTGCGCCTCAACGCGCGCGTCACGTCTCAACGCTTGTTCGTCTTATTGGCTGAACGTACAGTTCAGTCGTTTTGCTTATCGAGCCACGCGCGCGTGTTGTTTTTGCTTATTGGTGTTGTTGGTGTGCCTAATTTGTTTGGGGGGATGTTGAGGGGGGGAGTCCGAAAAATCGAACAATCTTGAAAGTGGAAAAGCCCCGACAAGTCGAAAAACCCGAAAAGTCCCGTAAAGTCTCGAAAAGTCGGAGGCGTCCCGAAAAGTGTCGACCAGACCCGGAAAGTCGAAAAGCCGAAAAAGCGAAATACTTTTTGATTTTTCGATTTTTTTCGACTTCTCGATTTTTTGCGTTTCTCTGCTAAGCTGAAAGCACGGAGGCTTGCGAGCTTAGGCCCCCGGTAGAGCTTTTGAGAACGACTTAGGGACCAAAAAGCAAAATCGATCTGGAAACCCCAAACCACTCACCATCCACGATCAAAACATCGAAGAACGACAACACGCACACACGTAAAGTTGCAAGTGACGGTCCTCCTCGCAAACCATTTCTGCATGGCCAGACGCACCCTTGAGAACTTTCGACATCTTTTTTTCTATTTGCGTCCTGCGAAGGTCCGCCCGGGACGCTGTCAAGGAAAGATCCACGCCGGGCCATCCTGGCGACCATCCTCACGACCAGCCTGACACCCCACGTCCTCGCGGCACGCGCACATCCTCGCGACCACCGCGCTGACAAGCGCCACCTGCGAGGCTCTCGCGCAAAAAGGATTAGTGCACCTCTCCATACTTGTTTTGTCACGAGCTGCGCTAAAAAGCGGTCTGGATCATAAGTCGCGAGACAGATGAAACGAAAAAGGTGCACGGCCGACCCTCTTCCCAGCGCGACATGCCCAAAGAAAGTAAAGCGGCAGCCACACCCCCGGACATGCGCAAGGAAGGGCCGACGCACCCAAATGGCACAAACCTCAACCTTCCCGGCTGCCCCCGCACAGGGTCAATACCCAACACAGCCAACTGGCATCCACCTCACCCTTTCGACGCAGCTAAAGATGCGCCGGCTCAAGAGTGAAGTGAGGAAGGCAGAAGACTGGACACAGCAGGGGACTGCTCTTCAGCCTTGCGCCCGCACGGCACCCCAACTGCGCGACCACTCTGATCTCCGCGACCGTCCTCGTGACCAGAACTTTAAGAGATCGTTTGGTCGAGAGACAGGGCGCGGATCTGCCTAACGTCCCAGCAGAGACCCCCGCCTGCCCAACCAGCCGCGCTCGCTCAACCGGCCCACCTCCTGCGCGCCACCCTCCCTGCATGGCAACCATTGCAGGACCAGTGATAGCACGCCCCAACCACCCGCCAACGACCCTGGCTGAACCCTGTTTTTTTTTTTTGCATTCTGGCTCAATACGAGTATAGTGGCTGAAGAATCATGAGCATCTGGCACTGCAAAGCTGTACAGCTGAAGCATTCCTAAAAGAATGCAATGTTTCGGACCTCATCGTATGTCTTGGCTCAAGCCCACTGTTCTCCTCATTTTTGTTGATTTTTTTCAACCCGGCTGACGGCTCCATTTTTAAGAGGCGGTTCTATTTTTTTGCCCTTGGCTCTATTTCACCGATATTCCACGGGATCTATTTTTTAGATCCAAGCGGTGGTCTGGGATGTGGCCGACGGCGTCTTCCTCAACAGGCGGAAGAGTGGTGCTGTCGATGTCTCAACTTTTTTTGAGCGTGCCTTGTTTGTGGTAGGCTGGGCTAGTTGCGGGTCGGAGGTGGGCGAGCGAGGAGGTCGGACCCGTGTTCCACCACGGCGTGAAGAACCCTGAGGATGTTAGCTCCTTCTACTATCAGGACCAAGAGCTGGGTTTGGAACATTTTGGAACTCTTTGGCCATCTTTGGGTTTCCACACTCGGCCTCGCAACCAAGAGTGCTTTGGTGTTTTCCACCCGTAAAGGTGGGACCCTGCGAGCCCTGCCAATCCCTAACAGCCCCAACAGTTATGGCCCGCGCCCTTTTTCTCGTTTGCTCCAGGTGGCAGTTGGGGATTTTTATGGATTTTGATTCTTCTCCCCGGGCCAAGTTGCCCCAGTTCCTCCAACGCTCCAACACTCGAGCTCTCTCCTAATGTGCGTAGTGGAGGAGGCAGCTGCATGCCCGCACCGCTGCGCCGCCCGCTCGCGACCACCCTCCCTGCAGACCACCCGCCCAACGACCCACGCATACTGCGTCGCACCCGTCTCGTGCCATTCCTCCCCTAAGGAGTTGATAAGCCCCCCAGAAAAGTGACAAGTTCACATCCTGTAGAGCCTAGCCTGCTTGGCTCAAGCAAAAAGACGTCACATTTCTGCATCAGGAAGAAAGGAAAGGAGGAGAAGATGACTGAGCGGAGAAGGAAGAGAAGAAAAGAGGAGAAGAGGAAGATTGGAGAAGAAGAGGAGAAAGAGAGTCGCAGTGGAGAAAGGAAAGGGATTAGCGAAGGCAAATCACGCGCGGCAACGCCAGCAAAAAGCACAGAGCATAACGCAGACTGCAGCGCATAGCGAATAAAGCAAAGAAGAAACTAAGGCAGACACACGGAACACAAAGGAAGGGACATAAAGTGAAGAAGCAGGACAAAGCTAGCCAAAAACACCCAAGCCTCCCACCAAAAGCACTAAACAGACATATCCTGAAAGTAACTGGGATGTGTTTTTGTTACAATTTCGCGGGTCGCCCCTTTATCCGAGGGGGTGGGGGAACCATCAATCCACAGCAAGGATTCTGAGCCTAATTTAGCCTAACACCGCATCGGCCGACGGCACAGCACGTCGAGCGGCACTTCATCACCAATCCTGGGCTCTGGAGATGCGTAGGCTGTAAAGGCTGTAAAGGGTTCGTGTTCTGGGCTGCAAAATGTAGGGCTTATTGCTTGAGATCTGGGCTAAGGCTGAGGCGAAGCCAGGTTTGAGGTTGCTTAGAGTTTAAGTTTAAGGACAGTTCGGGGTTATCCCCTGAACCCGAAGCTCAAGCCCTGCGGTTCTGGACAATGTCTCACTCTGAGCACAGAAGTTGGTTCCGGCATGTCCAATGTCAAGACGCCGTTCTAATTGCTCTAAAGGCGTGGCAATATACCCGAAACCCTAAACCTACACCTTCAAAAGGCGTCTGGCAATCCAAGCCCCATCTGCACT